AAAAAAAAAAAAAAATTGTCATTTCCTAAAAATAATCAATTTAATTTATAAAAGTTTTAGTGACTATAAAAATATTGTTAATGTTGCGCATTGTCACATCTGTCCTACCCACCTGGGCCAGTGGCCCGCTCATCCTGATCCACGTGACATTCCTGCCGAGGTGGCCACATTTGCCGAGGTGGGTTATATCTGAACTGCTTCTAACCGAGGCTCGAGGCGTGGAAGCTCCTGGTTGTAGCTGAAGTCCTCGAATGGACGAAGCCCCGAAGTCGATGCGCGAGCCTCAACCACAAGGAAACATCCTCCATTGTCACTTCTCCTAAGAGATCGCCTGCACAGATCTTATTCGAATGATTGATGCAATGTCTGTCATAAGCATAAATGTCAAGTCTTGTCACTAGCGTGAAGGCCCTGCACAAGCAATAAATGCGCCGTAAGCTAGCAAGTCAAATCCCATACCTAAGAACAGACGTTTAAACTAAGGAGATAAGGCCACGTGCCACTTCATCCAAGGGCCCCCATTCCATATGTATCACTATAAATACCCCCATTGTATAATGTCAAAAGGCTAATGCAAGAATCAATACTAAAGACTACATTTACTCAACTCTCTCAGCGGCTTGCAATACATAAATTGAGTTTATACACTTTTACATATAGATCTACGAGTACCGGTTGGTAATTACTGTACAATCGGATTACGAATAACCCGCCGGATCCTGAACGTCACCGTCCCTCATCGTCGGGCTACTCCCACGCCCCTTTGAACCGCTCGTTTTAGACCGTCCACGTGTCTTAGCGTGTTGGACATTCGTCCACGCAAGCGCAGGTGGAATCGGTATCTGTTAGCGCACTTTTTGGGATCAACAGTTAACTTACAAATACTAATTTTTCTCTACTTTAGCATATTGTCTACTGAAGCATACAACTGAAATGGACCTAGCCCAATTTCTAAAAGTGAAGGCTTTACATAAGTTTCATTTAGGGAATGGTGAATGATATTAAAAAGAAAAAGTAAAAGTAAAAGTAAAAGAAAGAAAAAGCAACTAATGTTTCCAGTTAAGCTCCAATTTGTGACTCATTTTTTTAGTGAAACATGTTTTGGAATTGTAATTTTTTAAATAAAATGTGGTTAAAAAATAATATTTTTGAATTTATTATTTTATGAAAAAATATGTGATTAAAAATAAATTTTAAAAAGAATAAAACCAATCAGACAGCCTAAAAAAAAGGATTTAGAGATAGACTGATTTGACAAAAGTGATTGATTTTTATTTTTTTTATTCAAAGTATTCAATCATATTTCTATACGAATTTATTCTATTCAATCAAAGTTCTTGATTCCATCCTTGTAGCATTGTTGTTTTAAAAATTTTGCAAAGAAATGAATATTATATGGGAGAAAACTGAAAGCGGAATGCGCGTGACAGAAAAGCGAGTGGTGGTGAAGCATAATCTTATCCCCACAGCATTTACTGTGCATTAATTAAGTTTGACGCCCTACTCACAATTCTGATTCTCCTTCAATTTTTCCTTTATAAATTCCTTAATAATACATCCATCCTCTAACCTACACGTTTACGCTACATCACATTCAAACCCACATCGATTTAAGCGCGCCGCTTTCACGCGCCACCTGGGGATCTACTTTTAAATGTCAGGCACGGAATTGCGTGCTGAATGGTCCACCATTTGGCGCGTGGCGAGTGTCCTCATTCGTCTGCTCTGCAAACTGCACAACTGAAATGTACAGTACTGTACTGTTACCCCCACAAACCTTGCCGTGGGATTCTGCCATTTTCACCGTTTAATCACAATAAATTAAAATTTTACAGGTATTTGTGTCCATTTTTTTATTATACAACAAATTATTTATTATTATCATTATTATTATTTATAATAAATTTTAATCATGTGATCAATAATAATTAATTATTTATTTATTTAATATTTTATGTTGTAATAACATAAACAAATATATGAAAAATGATGGAAATGATAAAATATTATTCATTTGGTGTAATTTTTGATATGTTGAGTTAGAGATAATTTTTATTTTGGTGCAAAATTTAATAGAATAATCGAAGATGACCTAAGAGGAGACTGAAAGTCATATTTGATATTTCAAATCAACTGCAAGAATCGTTTAACAAATCACTGCACGAATGGTAAAAAAGAAAAGAGCAAAAATTACTGTTTCGAATAAGAGAGAGATTAATAAAAAGGAAGTATACGAAAACTTTTACATTTACAGGAAATTTTGTCCACGCACGGCATGCCCCCTTCGTCTAGTTTTCATTATCTTATCTCTTTAGTTTTTTAACCTAAAAATGTACAATTTTATCTTGAAAAAGAATTTGAAGAGAACCTGCAATTCCAAGTAACCGGTAGGATTAAGTACGACGTAATATGTGTATTACCATTATATATATGCAATAGATGATAATTAAGGAGTTGAATTTAGCTAAAAAGATGGAGTTTGAGGAGGAGCATGAAGGAGAGGTACCGAGTTTTGACTCACTCGGCAACTCTAACTCGACTCGGCCAGCCAAAATGCCGAGCCCTGCTGAAACGTCGTTGAGGAAGCCTAGGTACAAAGAGTGTTTGAAAAATCACGCAGTGGGTATCGGCGGCCACGCGGTGGATGGATGCACTGAGTTTATGGCAGCGGGAGCGGATGGAAGCCTGGATGCACTCAAATGCGCCGCTTGCAATTGCCATCGGAATTTCCACCGGAAGGAAACTGAAGAAGCCGTAGGTTTTAGCTTCCACCACCACCACCAGAACCAGCAACAACAGCTACTCTTGACTCACCACCCACACGGGCATTTCAGCTACAGAAGCCCAAGTGGGTACCTCCACGTTGCACACCCACAGCAGCAGAGACCCCCTCTCGCCTTGCCGTCGAGCTCAGGCGGCGGCGCAGGAAGTGGGTCAAGAGATGAGCTCGAGGACTATTATTCCAACCCCAGCAGCAGCGCAGGGAAGAAAAGGTTCCGGACCAAGTTTACACAAGAGCAGAAAGACAAGATGCTGAATTTGGCTGAACGTTTGGGGTGGAAGATTCAAAAACAAGATGAGGAATTGGTGCAGCAACTCTGCAATGAATTAGGAATTAGAAGGCATGTGCTCAAAGTCTGGATGCATAACAATAAGCACACTCTTGGTAAGAAAACCTAGCTGGACCACCTGGTTAACTAGAACAAAAAGACGATGAATGATTCTACTGAGAATTAATGAAATTACTTTGTGGAGTTGAAGAAATTAATATTTCATGTTCTTATTCCATGATTTTGTATCTAGCTTAGGGAACTGAGAATATCAATCATGCTAGAGTTCTAGTATTTAGCAGATGAGGCAAGATTAATATTTCAAATTTGGGACTTCTGCTTACTCGGGAATTCTTTGTTATTATTAATTCCAATTCTAGGGTTTTGTTTCTTACATTTTAAATTTTCTTGATTCTGCTATAGTTCTCATTTTAGGGTCTGTATTTTGATGATGGGTTTGAACATGAGGATGAGGCCATCAATTATTTTAATTTATTTCCTTGTTTCTGTATTCATTGTACAGACACCTGAAGCATTTCTGCAGTAACTCACTCTTGTTGAATTCTTGAATTCAGTGTTATTTTCTTTCTGGGATAGAATTGAAAGAAAGAAAATTCTGAACTTTCACCATTTTCAATACACACACCGCTTGGCCTTTATTATAAATGTTTATGGATGGGATCCTTCTCCGTTTCACTGGAATTTTTGTTTTTTCCTTACTTAATTTCCGCTGAGTGATATCACAGCTCTTGCATGCCTGCATTTTTCTCCTCTTCCCACCCACTCTCTTTAAGAATGTACTTCCAAAACTTCAAGATTAAAGACTCCATCTTTCTTTCTAGTCCAAGTCCTCACCTCTTCCTTTCTTGTGTTGCATTTACTTTTGAATTCAAGAAGCATTTATTTTCATTTCTGAAATTAATAAACGCAATATCAGTTAAAATCTTGTTTATTATACTGATTCGAGTGTCCTCCTTGGGAAGGAAATTGCTGAAGTAGTTTTGTTATGATTTTATAGCAAAACTATTGTCTTCATCCTGGGAAGGAGAACTATATATAAGTGTTTATATTCAATAGTAGTGATGTTGTGTGTGTTAAGAAAAAAACTCAAATGGAAACGTGGCTGCAAGTTCTGCTCGAGAAAGTCGATAGATCCAAAGCCTGTTCGGCTGTTCTAAAATTCTTTCATCTCTCTCTTAATTCCTTACTAACTTTTATCTTTCTGATGTTCCAAAGGGAACATGTGGGCACTACTGCAACATAACGACTTATGTAATACTATAGAGGACCTGCATGCTTCAATTTACACCAACATTTATACATTATTAATGCACATGTCTACCCCTTCTTGCTTCTGCTCACTCACATTGCTTGCAAACATTTTATATATCCTCTTGTAGATTTTGAGGTTTTCACGGCTTTAAATGTTTTGTTCGAATTCTTGCTGTTTTGATCAAATTGCTTCTTGGGTTTTTTTTTTTTTTTTTTTTTTTTTTTTTAAAGCTTTTTTTTTTTTTAAAAAATTTTTTTTTTAAAAATTTTTTTTTTTTTTTTTTTATTTGGCATTTTTGTCACATTGATATTTTTTCAAAAAAAGTCTTAGCGAAATTGTTATTATGTAATCATTGATTCAAGGATGAGTGTTATAAATTAAATATTTATAAATGAAAATAGTATCATTATTGCTCAATAAATTAACTCGAGTTTTGGCTCTCTTTATTTTTTTCTCTTTATATTCTATTACTTTAAGTTTTATAACAAATTTCGCCTTATAAGAATTTTACTCCATTTTCTTTTCAACTTATGCGGTAAATTGTTTATATCAAAATAAATAAGAAACATTTTTTGTTGTTCAAGACATGATTTCTATAGACTTGAAAAAGATATGTTCACAACCCATTTGAATACCAATTTGTCTTTTGTTTTGGTTGGAAAATATAATTTAAGAAAGCTAAGGAAGTTGTTAGCAATTTATATATGCTTAGTGCCTGCAAGTGCAGGATGATGATGAAAGAAATTTCCTGTTTGGGGTATTCAGCTAAAGCTGCATACTGCAACTCTGGTCCACTAATGGCTCATTTGGTCAAACAATTACATCATTAGTTTTTTCTTCTTTAATTTATTTTTTTCTATAATGCCTCTCCATGTTAAAATATTGGCATTTTGGCTAAAGATAGAGATAGAGATGACTGTATTTGAACGTCATTCTTTTCTGAATTTCTTGAAAAGTAATAGAAGATATTTAAATTATTCTATTCTTACCAACCAAAAACGACTAAGCAACATGCTTTATCAACCTCAGAAAACAAATGAAGTTGGTCAAGAGATTTAATCAGTTTTTATTCGATTGAACAGCAAATTATAGGATCATTGTCTGTTTCCCAAAGGGGGGGTGTCTTGTCCAGTGGGCAAACAAGATTTTGTGGTATGTCGAACACGAAATTTAGGGTTTACGGTCTCCTATTACTATTTCATCGTTATCACGACGTTATCTACTTTATATGTTTGGACATGACAAATAGTATTCAAACAATTACCAGCTAGAAAAATATATTCAAATTTGGCTTTTTAATATTTTGACATAAGTTATTTAACAACACATCATTATCATTGTCGAAAAGGGAAATTGACCAAAATTTTTAAATCATTGTGTAACATGCTCCACTTTTGGTTGCGTTGACAACAATTATCACGACATTAATTAATCATTATTTCGAAAAGCTTAGGGATTAGTATATTGAAAGTATGTTTGGAACCCTAAAATTATTATTTATTAAATTAACCTTGTGTTCTAATCATGCATTAACGTACTAATTGTACTTTCTCATATTGCCTCGAGACTTCAATTTCAGGGGAATGGGCCCCGCCAAGTGGATTTGTTTGGATCAGTATGTTTCAGTGACTTCAAAAGTAGACCCAAATAGAACTTGGAGAGTGGGCCAACACTCAAACCAAGATTGTATGGGCATCATGAAAATTATTTTCTTTTAGGTGACATTATTAGTACATACATGCGACAAAACACTAATAATAAGAAAGATATTTTTTTGTTATTTTTTTTTATTTTTTTTAGAATAGCGTAGAAATGTTTTGGGTGACCGGACTGCCTACAAAAAGAATTAATTTAAAAATATGGGATAAGAATTAAATAAATTTTTTATTTAATTCTTATCCAATTTTAAATAACGAGTCAAAAGCGCTCTAAAAGTTATCTATTAAATTTCCATACTTAAAATAAAATAGTTTAGAACATTTCTAAGATTCTTTCTATTTTTAAAGAACATGCCCTTGTTTGAGCCCCATTTTTGTAGAAAGAATGAATTTTTGAATAGTGTATTGATGAAAAATATGATTAAAAAATAAGAAAAAATTTTGAATTTACATGTAATATTATTTTATTGAAAAATGTGTGGTTGAAATGATGTTAAAATACTTTTGAAAATTCATTTTTTTTTTAAAGAATGAGGGTCAATCAAGGGTCATATTTTACGATTTAAAGATCATTTACATATCTAAAGGGTAAAAAGGTTTCAAGTACTCCAACAATCTCTTTATCTTTAACACTATTACAACTCCAAAAAAATTATTATTTTTTATATTTTATTTTCACTAGTTTCCTCTAAATTATTTTATTATCTTTCTCTGTTAAATTGAAATACATTGAATGTATTTAATTATGAATAATGCTACGTGTACATAATGATTCACATATATAGATATATCAAAAAGAAATTAGAGACCTTTTTTCAAATAAATTTTGATAAAATCATATCTCACCAATAAACTCTTATATAAATCACTATTTACATATAGAACAATCAATAAATAAAATTTCCAGTTGACCAACAAGTCATGTCCGATTTTAATAACATTGATTTCAGCTCATTTTTTAATTTTAGGTTTGATATAATTCTTTCAATTAATGTTGAACTTTTACATTTTTCTAATATCAAGTAATAGCATTTTCAGGAGGCTATTTAAACATAAGATGCTATTTATTTTAAAGATTCAACTCTTAAAATTATGCCATAAAAGAGACTTCAAATTAATATTTTAAAATAGAGAATAAGTTTGAGTTTTCAAATTAAACGGTTGTATTCCATGTATATAATGATTTATTATATGAAGTGGTGAGATGTGATTGTAAGTATTATGCCTTAGGTCCAATCGACTTTGGACATAAATACTTTTATATATAATTAATGCAATTAAATGGCAGATCTATTATTTAATTAATAGACAATTAAATAAATAATAGAGTCCGTAGATTCAAATATTTGTAATTTGTTAATCACAAGGAGTTGTGATTGTGAGATACAAATTACATCAGATTGAATCTTAAATCATCCGTGGTCGTAAGTAATAACGAGATACGGATATCGTTATTACGGATAGACCATCACGTGTGGCATTTCTTACTTGTGAAGTAAGTAGCTGATCTCACAAGTTAAAGTGTGGTGACACTTAAATGAACACTTGGATGTTTGTTATAGAACAAAACATTGGAGACCCGTCGAGAGATTCCACATGGATAACTATCTGAGTATCAGTGGTTAATCTCTAACGTTCGGTAGTGGAATTGGTCCTTTGACTTGAGGTCGTCATATTGACTGGGATTATAGTTTCACGGTAAACGAACGAATTTGGTTTTGTCATACCACGTGACATTTCCCGTCACATGTATTGCCCTGACACATTGCTAGATGTCAATCAGGGACGGCGAATGTGAATTGACGATAAATTAAAAGGGTGTTTTAATTTATCAATTTTGATTAGATCAAAATAATATTTCACGTCGTTAGGCATCGTGGTCGGGAACCTAATGGGTCACACACAAAAGAGAATTGGAAGATTGCAAATTGCCAATTGATTAATTTAACAATCGTTGGATAAATTAATTAATTGGATTTGTTATTTATATTTTCGAATTAATTAATTGGATTAATTAATTCACGGACCGGGTTTAATTAATTGGATTAATTAATTATTGGACCGGACCGGGCCGAGCCTGTTTGGGTTTATATAAATACATAACTAGGGTTTGAGGTCCATTAAGGTTTTCATTATTCTTGCTAGCACAAGAGAAAACCCTAGAGGCTGCAATCATATTCTCTGTGTGGATCACCGTTGGAGGCTGGACAATTGGACAGCTGTGGTGGCGAATCAAAGTTGTGGAACGAAAAGAAAAGCAAAAGGATTGCAGATCTGAAAAAGGTACAATCTTATCACAATTCCTAACCAAACACAATGAGATCTATTGGATGGGAATCGAAATAATTTAATTTTCCGCTGTGCATGTATAAGTAGATTCCCAACAGTGATTAGGTCAAAATTTTTTTAATCAAATAAAAAAAAACTTTCATACTCTTCTTTTGATATCTCAACTGTATGTAAACCATTGTG